AAATGTTTATGTTTTGTATGACGTATTGTGGTCTGACCATTTTCCCTTGGTGGTGGAATGTTGTCTGGAGTCAATTGACCCCAAAAAATGCGTGTCAAAAACTTACTCTAGTAAAGTTGCGTGGGGGGAAAGAAGTATAAGTCAGATAGAATGCTATCAGAGAGAATGTCATGACAGGTTGAGACTAATTGACTTTCCGCGTGAACTTGAGACGTGTTGTGATAGGACATGTAGAGATCATATGCACAAGAAAGTTATAGATCAGCTGTATTCGGACATCGTACATGCACTTAAAAGTTCAGCAGTGGTGGGTCGAGATAGTGGCATTAGTGAGCCTAGAAAGAAGGTTGTAGGCTGGAACAGGCATGTCGCTGGGGCGCACACGATTGCAAAACAAAAATTTTTAAAGTGGGTAAACTGTGGAAAACCTAATGTCGGGTATGTGTACAAAGAAATGTGTGAGGCTAGAAACGTTTTTAAATCGAGACTCAAATGGTGTCAAAATCATGAGGATCAAGTAAAAATGGATATTTTGGCCTCACACCATTCTAAAAATGACTTTCGTGGTTTCTGGAAGCACACAAATAAAATACACAATAAGCCGGGGCTTCCTGTGAGTGTCGGCGGCAAGTGTGAGCCAGAAGATATTGCCAACCTGTTCAGAGATAATTTTATTGTAAAGTCTCCTCTGGGTAGCTTGGGATCGGTGATCGATGTTGAGCCTGGTAAAGATCTAGAGGTCAAATTTAAAGCAAAAGAGATTGCTCAAATTATAAAAAGCATGTCTAAGGGCAAGTCTCCTGGTCATGACGGGCTCAGCATCGAGCACCTCCGCTATGCGGGTCCGCACTTGCCGAGAGTTCTGGCAATGTTGTATAGCTTTTGTGTGGGTCATGGTTACTTGCCGAGCGAAATGATGCGGACACTTGTAGTACCTATTATTAAGAACAAAACGGGAGACGTCGCAGACACAGGTAACTATAGGCCCATATCATTGGCTACGGTAATATCTAAAATATTTGACAGCTTGCTTAATACACAATTGAACAAATATGTAGAACTTCATGATAACCAGTTCGGGTTTCGACCCGGATTGTCAACTGAAAGTGCAATTTTGTGTCTTAAGCAGGCTGTCACGTATTATACACGGCGTGGTACACCTGTTTACGCTTGCTTTCTCGACCTATCCAGGGCTTTCGATCTGGTTTCCTATGAGAGGTTGTGGAAAAAATTGGAGAAATCAAATTTACCATTTGAAATAATAAACATTTTGAAATTTTGGCATGGAAATCAGAGCAACTATGTGCGATGGGCCGGCGCTTTGTCTCGTGCATATGGGTTGGAGTGCGGGGTGAGACAGGGGGGGTTGAGTTCACCTACGCTGTTCAACCTGTATGTGAACGAACTGATTGACGAGTTGAGTAGCATTAGGGTCGGCTGTTTTATTGATGGTGTCTGTGTTAATAACATTAGTTACGCGGATGACATGGTGCTGCTGAGCGCGTCAATCTGTGGCCTTAGAAAACTTGTGCAGAAGTGTGAAGAGTATGCAAAGTCACATGGACTTATTTACAACTGCAAAAAGTCGGAAATTATGGTATTTGAGGCTGGGGGTAAAAGTCCTGAAAGTACACCACCTGTATTTCTTAATAAAGTGCCTTTAAACAGAGTTCATAGGTTTAAATATCTGGGTCATATATTGACACCCGACCTCAAGGACGATAAAGACATTGAACGTGAGCGGAGAGCGTTGTCGGTTAGGGCAAACATGTTAGCTCGCAGGTTTGCAAGATGTTCACTTGAAGTCAAGCTCACCCTTTTTAGGGCTTACTGTACCAACTTTTATACATGCAGCCTGTGGGCTAGATTTGCGCAGAGGTCGTACAGCGCTCTCCGTGTTCAATATAATAACGCGTTTATGGTGCTGGTGGGGCTGCCCCGCTTCTGTAGCGCATCAGGGATGTTTACAGATGCACACATAGACTGTTTTTATGCAACCATGCGCAAAAGGTGTGCTTCCCTGGTGAGCAGGGTGCGGGCCAGCTCCAACAGTATCCTGAACATGGTTGCAAGCAGGCTGGACTGCATATACATGGGACGATGTAATGCCATTTCCCATGGATTAATGTAGGATGTATCTGACAAACAGAAAACAGTTGTGACTACTAACATAGATGTAAGTTTTACTAACATTTTGTGAGTCCTGGTTACTTTAAAATAAATGATTTATTATATTATTATTATTACTATAATACACCTTGCAAATGTGACATCGATAACCTTTAAATATCTAAGCAAATAAAACCAATACCAAACTAAACACGAGTAAAGAAAAACAGCGGCGTCCTCAAAGACCAGTATAGGGTTATAGTCTTTTCTTAAAATTGAAAGCGTGCTAGGTAGCTGCGGCGTAATGCGATCCTCACACAAATCGGCATCAGCACAAAGCCTTGTCTTAACCGCACAACGCCGCCAATCATATCACCAGTTATTTAACTGATGGTCCTTTTTGGTCCTTTGAGGCGGCGTTTTAGAATCGTATTAATGGTTCTTAAGATGATTGTATGTTCGTTAAGTATTGAGAATAGGTTTCAAATAATCGTGGCTGGATATTCGATTGTGATATTAATGATCAATGTCTTCTACATGTTTGTTTGAATGTAATCAAGGCTTTCCAACTTTTATCTTTAGAAAACTACCTATATGTTTATTCAGTATTTATATAATTCACAAAAAGAAACAGCTAACGGACTAACATCAAAAGCTTTGTAAAATTTATTAAAAAAATACTAAGTAAAATGTCAGAATAGCCCACGATTTATACCAACACGTGGGATTGGTCCTTTGGCCCATGGCAATAAAACTTTGACACAAAAATATATTGTTTCAATTTAATGTTTAACATAGTCTCGCCTGCCTAAATTTCAATTTCATTTACTGCTTTTTGTCGTTTCAGAATGGTCACATTTAAAATCGTAGCATGGCCTATGGCGAAAATACCGAGATATTTTATGATTTTAAAATTAAAGTTATATTACGACACTTTTTGAGTAGACAGTTAGGCCGTTTATTTTATGGGTGAGTTAGACAAGAGATAGCTTGATTTGAGTTTAATTAAAAAAATTGTTAGGCTTTTATAGTATTACACTTCTATTGTAATACTTAACATTATTTCTTGTATTGGTTGGGTATCTTTGTAATGTTTAACCGACCTTATCGTGAACGCGGAAGTATATTCTTTCGCAAATGATTTATGAGGATGCTTATTTTCGGCAGTATCTGGTTTATAGTCATTTATGTTCGCGTATGTTTATTGTTACATCGAGTCATTCGTCATTTATGTTGCTTATCGTGGAATGGAAACCTTTATGACCATTGGTTTCCGTGTTCTTAAAATAAATGGAAAAGGAATAAAGATGGACCATTAAGTGAAACGGACTTTTTGTGGAAATATAGAAACAGGTCCTTTATCTAGACAGATTTGTTTAAGGTTCTGTTTACTCTTTGGTATGACTCAGCAAAATAAAAACATATCTTTCTTTTCAGCTCGGTATTTTCTTTATTCAAAATATTTTGCTGTCATTTCCTCAAACTGAAATTATCTTACTTTCAATTTATGAGCGAATTCTTCAACAAATGATTTTAGAAACATTTCTAAACATTGTCGTTAACATAAAACGGTAAGAAGTAATAAAAGATTGCGATTACAAATGAAGTAGCTATTTTTCAAAATGTTTCGTTACAACATCTTTGTAATGCGAGCAAAAAAGGACCACAACGCACTTTCCGAAATTGAAACGACGTAGCGGACCGTTGTGTTCGGCAACTTTTCATGCCTAGTCAGACCCTAATGGAAATGACAAGTCTAATGTAACAAGTAACAACTGAAAACATCCCGTTGGACGGATGTAACAAAGCATTCATTTTCTGATGGCGGTAATCTCGCCGAAGGGCGGCATTGTTCGTCATTTTCTCTACGGGCCTATATTTTTTTTCGTATTTTCTTTTCGAAAAGAATAAAAATTGTGAACAGTATTGTCGCGGCGGAGGCTCGCACCGTGATCGCGCAAAAAGGAGCCCTGGATGACAACGAAATGACGGGAGCGTCCGCGGGTGGCCCCCTCCCCCCTCTTGTAAAAATGTCGCCGAGGGAGGGGCGGCGTGCCTACGACAAGACGGCATTTTTACACACCGCCGCCGAACCGGCAGATCGTATACACCAAATTGGGATCAACAGAAATTGAACCGTGTCACATGGAGCGAGACCTTACATCAGCTTGGTGACGTGCTACTTGACTTTTTAAAACACGAGCCGTGTTTGCGATAAATCGATAAGTATATACGGTACACGCCAGCGGCAGAGGGTACGAATTGCACGGATTTTACAGTTCTTTGTGTTGACACGCCAGGGGTGGGGTGTTTAGTGGTTTCCGTCCGATGTTTTAGGAAATATGAAATTTTTAGCTTTAATTCGCATACGACTTTTTCGGAAGCCTGTTGAAGACCCTTATCCCTTTTTGCTTTTCAGATTTTCCAGGGGTACATTTCCGTCAACGGAATTTTCGAGGCTTTCTCCGAATTTTATTCGATTTATGAGGAAACAAGAACTTAAAATACTTTAGGGATAAAGCTACGGTCATACGATGTTAATTGGGGTCTTAAAATACTGAGTCCACCCACACATATTTGAATGACACGTTTCTTCCTAAGGAAAACTTTGTACCGATAGTCGTAATCATGTTTGACCTTTCTTTGATGCGGAATTTGATATTGTTTAAGACAGCCTGTAACATGACAGATGGAAACTGCTTGAAGCGTCACAACATAATGCCAATGTTTTTTAAATATGTTGAAAACAACTGAAATTGTGTAAACCAAATTTTAGCATAGATTTCTTTTTATACTGATACACGGGCAAAGCTGCTGACAGAAACTAGTTACTTATAAAACATACGGACATCATTTTATCTACCATTAACACTAACAAATTCTTGTTACAGAACAAATGGGCCAAGCTCAAGCGCAGCAATACTTCACAAAATATCCAGAGCTGAAGAAGGAAGGAGTAGCAGACTACATCAGCAGTCCAATTCACCAGAAAACTGATGTTACTCCAGAGAAACTCTTCAGTAAAAATAATTTTGGTAAGAATTCTTTATAACTTGGTGCATAGCAAATTAATGAAGTCATTCAAATATAATAACGTCATATGTTTACGCCTATAGGCACATGCATTTTAAATGTGAGCGGTCCATGCTTCGGCACGAATGGGCCATCGCGGCCGGAACGACACACGATCTCAGAGAATACCGGAGTGAAACAACACTGTGTTATGTTTCGTAGTGTGAGAAAGATTATTGGAGGCTCAGCACTTTACCCCCTCCTACCCAAATCCTCAAATCCCTGACAACCCCCAAAAAGGTGGTTACTCACTTTTAACTCTTATGGTCTGGCGGATATCCATGGACGGCGCCAATTGCTTATCATCAAGTGATGTCTGTTCGTTTCCCGCCTCTCAAAGAGCCAATAGAGCACTACAGACGGTGCCCTAGAAGGCCGATGTTCAACCAGGGTTGCAGGGCAAGCGTAATAAGGTACCGCGGCCTGGGCCTGGACTAGGAGAAGGTACGGGTGCACTATATACAAATAGAACTTACAAAATCAGTATGTCCGTATATATGTTACCAGATAACGTGTACAAATATTAGTTTTTAACAACTGGACATTTTCATTTCAATTTAACGATACCGTTGCTCTTAGAAAAAGACTTAGGACATGCCTGTAGGCAAGGAGAAGTCAATTCCATTCATAAATCGACCTTTTCTTTAATAACTTCCTTTACCGACAATAAGGAAAAGATTCGTATCATTCTCAAATTCTAACGTTTATTCTGCGTACCAAAGGACCAAGTTCTCACTTGATATTATTATCATAAAGTTCACCGAATCGAATGTCTGTCTGCTTAGTTACTCGAATATTTGCATAAATACTATAAAATTTTAAAATACGTATGATTGATACTTAATATCACACTCTACTTTTAGTTTTACTACAAGTGTTTTGGGCCATTATCATGTAAATGATAAAACATGTACTTACAAAACTGATTGAAAAACAGTAACCATGGAGCTTCTTGCTCGTTCTTCTTCATAGGAATCTACACTTTGGAACGAGCAAATAGCTTCACTAGAGGACAAACGGACAGACTGACAAGCTTAAAGTTAAAGCTCTCCAAATACTTTTTTTTGCTTGACGTTCTAAAGTGCCTACTGTACTACTACTGTGGTCTAATTGAAATAAATGATTTTGACTTTGACTCTTTATTTGAAATAATGTTGATTAAATAATGTTGTATCACTCGTACACGCACAAGCACACACACAAGCAAATGTATGACGTATCCACCGACATGCGCTAGCGCATCTCCATAGTCTCACGTAGCAATAACCAGCTTAGCTAATATTGCTAATGAAAAACCAACGACACCCGTGTTTATACTTACTTCGATTGCGAATTGTAATAGAGATGGTTAATTTTATTAGTAACTAACGGTCGCCCGCGGCTGCGCCCGCGTGCATGTCGATTTTACACTTTTTCAAGTTTGTTTGTGACTTTGCCCGAGTTATATGTGTGTACTTTCTAATGATTATTTGGACACCACTGACATACGAAAACATCGCAAGGAAACCGGGACTTATAATTTTAAATTATAAGTCCCGGTAAATTTCGATTTCATACTTATAATTTTATAATTTTAAATTATAATTGCAACCGCCTTGAGCAAGCGTTGGTGATTAATGGTCTAACCTTCTCCGTGTGAGAAGAGGCAAACGCCTCTTCTCACACTGAGCAAACGCTCAGCAGTGGGCACAGTTACAGGCTGATGATTTATCAGTAATCATGTTTCAAAGGCCATCGAAAATGGCAACTTTATACCGTACACATTTTACACGCATCACTACAACTCCCGCATACATGAACAGAAATCCCAAAAAAAAAACACTACGCAATCGTACGCGCAAAGGCATCGCGCTCATTCTGCCCGAATGCCTTCCCATATTCAAATTATCAGATCTGTCGATCAAGGCGCTAACAAAACGCCATTATGCTTGTAAAATTAAACGTATTAATAGTTATTACAAATGCTCGGCTTTTGTCAGAAGTGTGCATCTGTCTGTCTGTTTGTCCGTTGCCCGATTGTGTAGAAGTGGGGTTATGTTTCAATGAGATCGCTTCTTTGTGAGATTTTATCTACCACAGAATAACGGTGGCTGGTATTTTTGTAATACCTTCAACGAATTGTAGTCACGAAACCCAATGATCAAGAGGATGAAAATTAAAACAAATTTTGAGCATGAGTTTTAACAGATAGTTTTAGAATTTTCGCAGTCAGATTTTTCCTTAAGTAAATAATGGGGTTTGTCTTAGTTACAGTACTCTAAACCCTATAGTGAGTTTTATAAAGTTTTATGCGTTTTTATCGATATTATTTTTATTGAATTATTATATTGAAACATTGTGACTATAACGAACTTGCACCGTTCGTAGAACTGGTACTAAAGTAAATAAAACATTTTGTTCATGTCTCATAACAATTCCTAACCTAAAATTAAAAACTTCCATCGACCGTACTTACCAAAAGTTAGTTGTAAACGTCAAGCACTGACATACAAATCCTTTACCTAATAATTTGCTTACATTTCCTATTCCTGAAACTTCAGTATAGTTCTGAAAGCTTGCATAACTTACTTCACTTTAGCAGCTGAAGTTAATAATTTGTTATGTTGGTAGCTATCAAAACGTCTAATTCGAAGAAGGTTTTATGTAACTAAGTTTGAACACTATTTTTTATGTTCCGTGTTCCTCGGCTGTAAGTTAAAGGAATCGGTTAGCTTTTGAATCGTGCTCTATAAAATGTATAAGTACTAATTTTATGAAACTGATGTGTTTTTTGTTTGCTTGAACGCGCTAATCTCACGAGCTATTGATTCGAATAAACATTGCTTTTTGTGTTGGATAGTCAATTGATCGATGAAGGCTATGGGCGACGACCGACAGGATCCGGATAGTGAAAGCGAGCAAATTGCAAAAAAAATGGTTAAAAAAGGGGGAAATAATCAAATGACTCCTCTTGTTCTGGGTGAGGTGAGAGGAAGAGTCAGACTCTTACTGACTATAAACCAACCAGTTCTTTCTCCAGTTAAGGACACAGGTACAGTATATTGTAAGAAGGCGCACACTATGAAGTTTTTGATTCTACGAAGGATAAACGATATTTTATCATGCCTCATTTCTAAATACAAACTGAATTCAAATACAGACGCAAGAAACGGCACTCTTTCGTAATTTTTTAACCAAGAACCAATATTTTAATACGTGTTCTTGACCAACCTTAAATTACTAAGAAATAAATAGTAAGCAGTCCACCAATTTAGTATAAAACTTTGTCTAAATGTTAAACGTCGAAACTTAACTCAGAGGAACATCTCTCGAGATTAGGTCAAGTTTGTTCGAACGTTCCTACTCGACTGAGAATAATAAAAAGTTGGCGCCAAGTTTTTGGCCCACAGGGCCTGGCGGCCATCATTAAAATTGAAATAGTGTTTCGAATTTTCGATTTTGATATACCTACTCATGTACAAAGTTATAGGTGCTAAGTTAGTGGTGATTTTAGTACCTATTAGATCATTATTTAATTTTGAAAATGGTCCTACAAAACTTTTCTCCTGTGATAATGATGTGGTAATAATTGTTCGCGCCTTGTCAATATTGAGGACAGTAAATTGCGTGATTTTTCTTTTATGGGATAGGATGGCAAACGAGCAGACGGATTACCTGATTGCAAGCAATCCACCGCCCATGAACACCCGCCACACCAAAGTAGTTGCGAGTGCGTTGCTGGTCTTTTAGGGTTAAGGGTTTCGGATACTTATTTATGGATTGGGAAGGGATGGCACGTACACGGCGAAACACAACGATTTGGCTATTTCCGCCTATTTTTTGTCGTGTTCTGGTCGTGGTACTTATCACTCCGGTCGAGCCGACCCATTCATGCCGAAGCTTGGCTCTCCCACACTCAAAATATTACGTGTTATTTTTCCTCCACTCACGATTTTTATATACAAACTCTTTTAAACACCATAACACAACACCATGTATATCATAAATAACGATTTTACAACACCATTAATTTTAAATCACTATACACCAGTGTATGTACGTGTAGTATCGATCGTGTAATAGTGTGCGTACGAAACGTCGTCCAATCGTCACCTCTCGCGTGAATTGTGGGCGGGGCTTCACACCCTGACTCGTGGTACCATGCGATCGATTTTATTTGAGACACGACGGGAAAAAAGCCCTCGATCTCGGAATAGAGGTTGACATTTCCGATAAGAATTTTTTTTGACATTTTGTTTAGAAATTTTACTACATGGCCTGTTTTGTTGTTCCCTGAGGACGTACACTAGTTAGTTCGTTTTCCATTTTCTCATTAGTCGTATTTTTTATTCAATTGTTTTACTTATGTTGGAAACACGTGCATATTCTGTTCATTATCGCTGAAAATTCCAAAATAAAAACTCATTTTTACCCTTTTTCGTGGAGATTATCTGTGTTTAACCTACAAGATATTTCACCCTATCTTATTTAATCGCAAAGAGATACAAAAGTTTTACAGGCTGTATAAAAACAGTTTTTATAGCAGTTTTAATTAAATACCTAATTTGCAACTGATATTTTGTATGCAACTATGTATTTATAATGGCAAGCTTTACTTCTTTATCAGTCTATTGGTGTTATTAAAAGTATGTATATGCAAAAAAAATACAATCTCCACAGTTATTTGTTAAAAGGGTAAGAAAGTAAAGATATCGTCTCAGGATTGTATGAATTACACATTCACGTAGGTTAAATGATCATGAATAGAAGTTGTGTCCATTTAGTATAGGATATTTTCCTATAGTACAAAGTGTGGTCGGCTCGACCGGAGTGATACCACGGCCTCACAGAAAACCGGCGTGAAACAACCACAGTGTTGTGTTTCGCCGTGTGAATGAGGTTACCGGAGGCCCAATCCTTCCCCTTCCCAATCCCTCCCCAGTTCCTAAATCTCCAAATCCCTAATCCCTTAAAGGTCGGCAAC